AAAAAAGAGTTAATGAGCATCAGTTCTAAGGAAGCAAAATCAATAGGGTGAAATTAAGAATCAGTAGACTCGCTTGATTTTCTACTTCAATAAAGAAAAATGTGTGCTAAACATTTTAGATGACAGTAATCAAAATTGCTTTTTATAAAGTTAAGCCTTTCCTCTAGCAGGAATTTCCAAAAGTTAACCAGATATTTTTATATAATTGTTATTAAAACTTACTATGAAATGTAACAAAATGCTCTGGTTTGGAAAAATGTTTTATTGTATAAGATTAACTCCGTTATATTTTATGATGGGAACAGATTTTTTTAAGAGATAGTTGTCTCATTCTTTAATATTCAAATCAATATTTTTTCCTAAAGCAAGTAGTGCTGAAACAAGAATAGAGTTTCAGTATTTTACATGAAAAATGCTTTGAATTTTTTAGGGGGATTTTTCCCCCTTCTAACAGGATTAGTGCTTAAACCCAAAGCCTTGCAAATGCCGGACGAGTACTCTACACTAGTCCAAGTCATACATTGTCTCTTAGAAAAATTTGGGTCCTTTATATCAACTTATAAAATACACATCTCCTTGAGATTTTAGTATTTTGGTTGGATCAAAGGCTTGAACCAAGGCAAGTGTGCTGAGACATGCCTGTAATCTAAGTACCCAAGAAGATAGGCTGAGACAGAAGGGTTGTGGGTTTAAGGCCAGCCTAGACAAAGAAAGAATAAAAAATAGGAAAAAGGAAACTCAACCTATTGTTTGTTTTGACAAAAAAAAATTACGAAGAACACAATTACCTCTTTCTAAGTTATTTTAGACCAACTTTAGATTTCATCTTAGGTATCTCTTCTCAGCAAGTGTTCTTTTAACATTTCTCCCTTGCTGTTTGTTGACAGAAGCAAATTAACTTTAATATTAGCTTAAGCAAAATATGATTAGAATATATCTGCTACAGAAAAAAAATCATTACTTAAAAGCTAGACACTTCTAAGTTGCATGCTGTTTTAGATAATCCATAATGTATCTCTGCTTTACTAGCAAGGATAATTACAATTGTGACACTATAATTTTAATCTGGGCCACCATCATTTCACTTAAAAGTATTTATTTATAATGATCAGATAGGCATATTTGTAAATTAGGTCTTAATAAGTATTAATCCTACTGATTTTAACTTACTGATAAAACAGCTACTGTGGGTATTGCTGTGGATTTTTATATGAGACTAGTAAATAAGTCCTGAAAGTCATCATAGGTATTTTTAAACTAATAAAATGAAATCTGTCTACCTATCACAGTTTAATATATATTCTTTTTTTTGGGGGGGGGTCCGGTTGTGGGGCCTGAACTCTGGGCCTGGGTGCTGTCCCTCAGCTCTTCAGCTCAAGGCTAGCACTCTACCACTTGAGCCACAGCGCCACTTCCGGCTTTTTTTCTTTTTGCTTATGTGGTGCTGAGAATCGAACCCAGGGCCTCATGTATGCAAGGCAAGTGCTCTACCACTGAGCCACCTTCCCAGCTCCTGAACATATATTCTTGTCTTAAAGTGCTTAATAATATAAGCACTCTAATAAGCATTTATTAGATAAAAGTTCTCTGTTCTTTTCATATCTAAGTATAAAACCAACTTAATATAAATGAGTATTTTATGCCTATTAATCATTATCATGAAAGCAGGCCCTAACTAAAGGCCTGTGAATGTGAGGCACTTCACATACAACTCAGAATTTAAACCTTACCAAAAAAACCTGTCCAACAATCATTATTCTCCCTATTTTCCTATGAAGATGCTGAACCTTTTAAAAGTTAAGGATCTTGCTAATGGTCTAATGAGGAAGTAATTCAAGTCAATTTTGTTTTGTTTTGAACTCAAGGCCTGGGCACTCCCCCTGAGCTTTTTTGTTCAAGGCTAGTGTTCTATCACTTTGAACCATAGCTCTACATCTGGCTTTCTGGAGGTTAATTGGAAATGAGAGTCTCATGGACTTTCTTGCCTGGGCTGGTTTTGAACCATAATCCTCAGGTCTCAGCCTCCTGAATAGCTAGGATTACAGGCATGAGTTAGCTAATTTAAGTAAATAATGGAATTTGAACTCAAGTCTTGATTCCAGAACTCATTCTTTGTACCATACTTTTCTCATATTCTGTGGATTTTTACAAGTCAAAAAATATTAACCTCCATTTCCACAAACATGATAAGTAAAAATCTCGATTCACAAATAGACAAATTGGGATTCCCTGTAGACTAGTGAGGTGGATGATTCACTTTGTTCTTTCAATAATATGGCGTGACATTAAAAATATAATTTGCTATTCCAAAATTCAGTTTTTACTGAACATTTTAGGAATACTTTCACTATGAGATTGTATCAAGTGAGACAAACCTATATTTTGCTGTTCTGTTTTCACACCCCCTTCATAAGTGGCCTGTTTTTTAAAAACCCGACATGCTTCCTGCTTGGATTCTGAATCTCGCTTGTCTCTTGTGATCCAGTAAGAAGGAAAGAGTAACAGCACCCTTCTTAGGGTTGTTTCATGATTAACTGAGATAGTGTGTATTTATAACATTGTTTTTGAAATATAATAAGACACTTAATAAGTGTTATATTTTATTAACAGCCTTTTAAAAGTAACATTTGAAAACAGGCAATCTTTAAAAAAAATAATAGCCCAAACAAGTTTATTCAATACATCATTATCTTTAGTCTGGAATAAGAAAACATCTTTCTTGTATCATTTGGAAAGTGTTTCATTTGTTGTTCATGTTGCCCATATACATTAAATGTATAGTAAAATCCATAAACTATGTTCTTGTTTTACTTAAAGTTGATGTTTTCATCCCTGCATAGGCTAATTCCAAATACAAGAAAATATGTTTAGTTCCTGGCAACTATAGTGACATTCTTTTGATTGCCTTTCTGGAGAAAAAAGAAAGGAAAATAAAGTGATACTGTAACTTGTTCTTTAGGACAATATTTACTTAGCAGAAGAGGTTTGAAAAAGAAATGACTCTGTCACTGCAAAGAATATACTATGAAAGCTTCATTCTTACAATATTTTGTGTGATTCTTGAAGGGAAAATACTTCTAAATGATTTTACAAAACACTAAAATTAAGAACAAGATCTTCTCAATATATTTACAGCACATATTCAACCACTTGAATATATAAGTCTAAGGACAAGTAATATATAAGAAGTTACAAGTATAACACAAGCTAGTCAAATTTCCTTTAGATTTTTGTTATCTTAAAATAGTCTTATCCCTTAGAAGCCTGAGATTAACTGCATCCAGGTATAAGTCATTTAGAGATGGTCCATATAATTCAGTCTCATTTCTTCAGTGGATCCTACCAGTAAGAACTTAATTATAAAAGTTAAATTCTTATGAATTGATGTGAAACCTTACTTATAGTTCTTTTGTAAAAACTTGTTCAGCTATATTTCTCAAAAAAAAGATATGTTTGAGCACTTTTATTATCTCATTTTGACATTAAATTGCTATCTTTTTTTTCATTACTGCAGTCCAAATGCCAAGCTAAAGTCAGTCCATACCCTAGAGAGATATAGACAGTTCAATCTAGGCATTTAAATTTTACTGTTTTTTCTTGTATTTTCATTGTTCTTTAGTTTCTAATTGAGTAAGCTATTTAAAATAAATAGAGAACTTACTATTTCAGTGAAAAGATTTTTATAGTACACATAAAAGAAAATTGTGTAGTTGACATGGAGTTCATTGTTTCTCTTATGGGAACTTTAGGGAACTATTTAAAAGATTATTGAAGCTTTTTTTTCACAGCTAGCTTTTACATTACCTTAGATATTCCAACTGCATATTAATTACAGTTCTGGAAATGAATATCAGCTTTACTTAGTCTAAATTTTTGTCAATAATCACAATTTGGTATACATGTCAGCCAAGATTTTCAAAATTCTTGGAGTTTATTAAAATTTAGATTTAGTTAGCAGTATTGTTTATTTTTAGACAGGTGTCCTATCACTTGAGCCACACCCCCAGCCTTTAACAGCTTTTTTTCTTTACTAAGAAAAATCCTTTTCTTCTATGTCAATATATACTATTTTATATAATCAGATGCATGATGGCTTTTTTTTAAGGGAGTAAATGAGTTCATAGAAATGAGTTAGCTATACTTTGAACGGGAAAGGGAAAAGGCTACACACACATTAGAAGTTCAGTTTGTAGATTAGATCATAAAAGTGGCTATATGTGAAACAAGTTCTTTAGATACTTAGATTATAATCTTAAAAAATAAGCACATCTCAGCGAGTCTGAGATTTTGCATCAAAATAGTTGTTAAAGAAGAATTAGTAAATCTTGTTTACTGTTCATTTAGAATTCTGAGCTTAAAAATAGATACTTAGAGTGCTTGTGAAAACAGGCTCCCTTATTATTCTCATACTGTATTATATGATGAGATTAATGTACCCATGCTGTATTGGAGCTCAGTGTACAGAGATGAATTTGCTAATTTTTGTTACTTGCAAGACCAGCCAGGTTACTATGGCCCAACAGTTGATTACCTCAATGCTTAATATTATGCAAAACCATCAAGTATTACTTGTTTTTAAAGTGACACATATAACTTTTTGTTACAATTATTAGTACAAGCAAAGAAGCTAACAGTGGTTTTATTTTTTATTGTCATCAAACGATCTCTGAATTTTCAGCAGAATAACATTCATTTGTAATGCCTGTATGAAATACAGAAATTGTGAATAAAGCTTTTGGTGTCTTCTCTTAAAAATCAAGTCAGTAGCCTTGAAACCTTTTAATTGGCTCATTTTACCTCATCCTGGCACTGTTTTAGGTAGGTCAGTTTTGCTCTCAGTGATTATTTTCACCAATTCAGTTTCTCTTTAGATTTTTACCATACGTAGAAAGCATTTTAACCTGTCTAACCCTCAAAATATTTTTATTACTATTTACTTTAAGGAACCATAGATAATTTACATGCTTTTAGTGTGTGTGCAAGTTCCCAAGACACTCTGAAAGACAGCTTAGGAAAAATAAACAAATAGCAAAAGCATTCAGTCTTTATTTACATATAGAAGACCACTGTTTTCATTTTAGGTGCAAGAGTCTGAGCAGCAGGACCACCGGAGAAGACATCTTTAGCTATAGAATTTACATACCGTCAGCTCACAGTGCTTGATTAGTAGCCAGGCTCTGTAGGACAGAGCTAGCTGAACACGTTATTTGGGATGCCTTTGATGCTGTGGTTTTCTGAAGCTCCTAGCTGCATGCATGTTGCCTTTGTTCGTGAGACAGGTAATTACTTGATAAAATGAAGTGCATCACTGTGAACAATTGACCCTTTGGAGCAGTCCAGGCTAGTTAGCAGTCTAAATCCACACTTTAAAGCCATCATGATTGCCTCAAACTTCAGAGTTTCCAGGGTGCAGACAAAGGTGTTGTCTTCCTTTAGTACAAGTCGAGTGCCATTTTCAGACTTTATGAAGTATTTAAATTGAATGATATTTGATGATATTGAAAACTCCTCCGGAAATCCATCCAGCCTGCTTTTTGACACCAGCACAATCCGAGATTTTATTTTTGATATAAAATCAGGAGCATTACAGAAGATTCTCAGTCCTTGTGAACGATCATGATTGTCTGTTATTTCCAAGAAAGTCGTCTCTCTGGGTGTTAGCTGTTCTTTCTCCCACCTGGATTTTACTTCCTCCGCCAGTCCCTTGAGCTGAAAGAATTCTGCTTCTTGGGCAAGAAGTTGATTTTCTCGAAAACCTTCAGGCAATAGAAGTTCTCCATTTCGTAGGAAGTTTAGGACATGCCTGAAGAGGAGCCCGTCTCTGTCAATGAAATAATGGCCATCAGCGTCAAAGGGGCAGAGGATTTTTCCATTTACTATACCTTCCAGGAAAGTGTCTGGGTACTTGGTCAGTGTTTGTTTTTGAGTGATGTATAAATATCCACCAACATTGAGAGTCATCAATGTGGATTTGCAGCTCTTTCCTTGGTCAGTATCTTCCAGGCTGTTGTGTTTCCCTTCATATTCCTTTTCTTTTTCTCTTCTGATTATTTTGCGCTCCATTTTTGAAGATGCTATTTCAGCTTGTTCTTGGCTATGAGGCTCTTTTTTTTTTATTTAAGAAGGAACACTGCCACACAAACACGCTTTTATTCCGTCCCAGCCTGGCGATGGAATGGAGATGCTGGCAGCATTTCTGCACTGGCAGCTCCGTCTTACAGTAGGTGGCGCATGGGCTATGCACGCAGGAGCTTGCTGGAGTAAGATGAAGAGAATTTGCATTTAACTGTATCGGGGAAGGGATTTACTGTGAAAGGCTGTTATATCTATTCTTTGAAGTAAGAGTCACACAGAATAAATTGAATTTCCTCTCACCAGTTAAACAGTTACACATGTTTAATTCTCCAGCCAAATGTGAGTTTCTCCTCATTGTTAAATGTCTAATTGATTTTCTTGGACAAGATTAATATTGAGTAATTCTGTTGTGTTTTTGGAAACTAATGTATAATGCATAAGTATCATTTTTTAAAATAATTTATAAGTAAGAAATCTTAAGTGAAAGGAACAAAGCATGTAAAATTTTCTCTCCATTGTAAAGGCACAGGGGTGTGGTGAATTTTGAGACCCAAATAGGAATGTTTAAACTTGTTATTTGTGACATTGCACTTGAATTTAATTGGATTTGTATATAATTTTGGCTTGTTGTTCAATGAGACGATTAACATCCTTTTCCAAAAGGGTTTTGTTTTTTTAATGCTAACAGGTAAAAAAAAAAAAACTCACATAGATAGGCTTTATAGCAAACACTCAAATTTGTGAAGGGTGGGGGTAGTAAGATTTTATGAGCTTATTTCAAGCTAAACCAGCTTCAATGATGCACAGACAGACCTCCATAGGAAACACAGTGTGCAATTTGTTGGGAAGAAAAGAAGATAGAGATTCAAAATACTATTATAGAACAGGTCATGACCAAGTTAGTTTTGTTTGCATATTGTTTTACAAAGGGTAAGGTAATGATGTAAGTGTGATGTTCTATCTTTCTCCTTTTTTCTTCCGTTTCTCTAAAACTTAACTTCCAAAGCATTTTAGGGTTCTGAGCTATAATTTAAAAGCTTAGTTGTGGGGGTGGGGGGAAAGAGATGGGAAGGGATGGTAAGGGGAAACAAAGGAGGAGGCAACAATGCTTGATAAGAAATGTACTCATTAGGGGCTGGGAAGGTGGCTCAGTGGTAGAGTGCTTGCCTTGCATGCCTGAGGCCCTGGGTTCGATTCCTCAGTACCACATACGCAAAAAAAAGAAAAAGAAAAAAGCCGGAAGTGGCGCTGTGGCTCAAGTGGTAGAGCGCTAGCCTTGAGCTGAAGAGCTGAGGGATAGCGCCCAGGCCCAGAGTTCAGGCCCCACAACCGGACCCAAAAAAAAAAAAAAGAAAGAAAAAAAGAAATGTACTCATTACCTTCCTCATGTAATTGTAACCCCTCTTTATGGTATTTTCACAATAAAAATAAATAAAAGTTTAGTTGTAAAAATTGTGAATGTTATCCTCAGCCTCCTATTATTGGCCTGTCTGTCTACTAAATTGCTCTGAAGAACTCATTGTTCTAAGAATTAGATTTTAGATTAGACTGATTTTTGTTTCCATTGCACTAAGTATATTTTTTAATTATCCAGTTGTATATTGGTGTTTTTAATGCCTTTTATTTTATCTAGCTAGTGTTAGATCTTCTTTTGATGTTAAAAAACCTAAATCATTAATTGTAGCAGATACTGAATTTAACATTTATATAGCATTGAGATTATTAAGAGCACATTGAAATTGGACTGGAAAACTACAGCATATCTTCAGAAGTGGGTTTTTGCTTAGAACAAAAACCCCCAGCTTCTTCATTTTACCAAAGATACAATTGCATTCTGGGAAATTTTTAGTGTTTTACAACTTGTTAAGGACAAAGCTAACACTTAGACCAATTCTTTCTGTGAGTTATGCAGCATTTAGAAAAGTTTGCTCTTATATTCTCTTATATTATAATCTTACATATACATTGACTTTGGGGTGTTTTTTAGAGTCAAGTTTTCACTATATATAAAGAAATGGTCAGAGGCTGGGAACGTGGCTTAGTGGTAGAGTACTTGCTTAGCATGCATGAAGTCCTGGGTTCAATTCCTCAGTACTAGAAAAGGCCGGAAGTGGCGCTGTGGCTCAAGTGGCAGGGCACTAGCCTTGAGCAAAAAGAAGCCCAGGGACAGTGCCCAGACACTGAGTTCAAGCCCTAGGACTGGCCAAAAAAAAAAAAAGAAAAGAAATGGTCAATATGTTTGGGAAGGTATATAACTTTGGATGTATTTATGCAAGTTTTATGTTGCTGTCATAAATGGATATTGCAGGGTTGGGAAGGTGGCTCAGTGGTAGAGTGCTTGCCTTCAGGCATGAGGCCCTGGGTTCAATTCCTCAGCATCACATTAGCAGGAAAAAAAAAGCCGGAAGTGGTGTGGCTAGTGGTAGAGTGTTAGCCTTGAAGCTGAAGAGCTGATGGACAGCACCCAGGCCCAGAGTTCAGGCCCCACAAGCAACCCAAAAAAAAGAAAAGAAAAGATGGATACTGCATAAGGGGAGCATTTTATAATAGACAAATCTGCAAAAGCATAATAACTTTACATATGGGTGTAGTTCTCTTTTGATGAACTTAGTGAGATACCAGGATCAGAATATAAGATTGTAATATAGTGATGGAGACTGTGCTAGGATTTTCTTCTATGGGAAGTAAGATGGTACAGTCAAATGCCATGTAAGGCTGGGTCTGCTTATATTGACCTTATATTGGTCAGACCCTATTTTAGGGAAACCTGGTTGTATTGTTGCTGCTAGAGAATGGGCTTGCCTTGGGATAAAGAGGTAGGTCTTGAGGCTGGAAGAAGGATAGACATGGCGCCTCTAGCCTCTGGCATCATCACTCCAGAGTCCCACTTCTGATTTCTGCTGTCCCAAATTTCAAAGCCACGTATGAATGTATCTTGCTTCTCCAGGCTTGCATTGATGGCCTCGACTCCAAACCTGTCCATCATGTGCCTGTTCTATGCTTTATGACTTTTCCTCCCTCTAAATTTCTCCCTGCACTGCTTTGTGTACAAACCCGCCTGGGTATGATTTGTTTGCCACCCTTGGTTTGGCAGCAAGAATGTAACTGAAGCCTTGTCTTACGGCCTTACTGCAATCTGACATGAATCCCTAGGGCTTTTCTTTCCACTTCACCCCGTTTGCAGTTTTAAAAAAAGGCAAACAGCATCTAGTAGGCCCTACTTTATCCACATTACCTTCATTAAAGTGGTGATTATATGCCATGGAAAGGAGCTCATTGACTGTTGGCTACCTGTCATAGTTCACTTGCTCTTAGTAGAAAGCCAGGTTGCAAATCTTCTCCCAGTTTACAATTTACTTAGGGTGGGAGGTGCTTGTCCTAAGTAGTGAGTCAGCTCTATACAGCCCTAAACTATACAATGGTGCTTCTGTACTTATACCAAAAGAAACATGCCTGGTTTATGTAGCTATGTGTCTTGGTCACATTGCCCATGTAAGCCAGCATCTCAGTTCAGTGGCTTCGCCAGAAGGACTTAAACCACACATCAAGATGCACTTGACTTGGGAATTTTGCCTGTGCCTTGCAGGCAAAAAGACATAACTTTTTAGACACAACTGTTCTCTTTTTAGAATCATACCCTTTTAAAAAATCAACAAATCATCTGTCTTAGACACCTGTAATTGTACACACAATAGAGCCCTTTAAAATTTAAACTTTGAAATTTTGAACAGGCCCTTGGTAAGAGCCTCTTCTGTAGTCAATTAAGCCTAATACCTAACCAAATTTTGGCCAAACCTCCCACTATGAGGTAATGCTAATCTACTGTCTGTAATAGGCAGAATTTATTCCAGGCTAATGAAAAGAATTTCCATCTTTTCCAACAACTCCTAAGGGGAAATGAGGTACTTGTCATTACCATGAGCAACACAAACATCATGATAAATATGCTTGGTCCATCTAAATTCAGTGCATGGGAGAGAAGTAGAATCTTCCCAGCAAGTTTCTCTCCTGATGGGAAGATACATAGTTAGGTAATTTTCCTGAACCCAACAGATCACTCCTCTATGAAATTCCAACACCGCTTTTCAGAGAAAAGCAATAGTCTTAGGCTCTAAGTGGCGCTATGGCTGAAATGGTAGAGTTATCCCTGAGCAAAAGAAGCTCAGATAGTGCCCAGGCCCTGAGTTCAAGCCCCAGGACCGGTTAAAAAAAAAAGTAAAATAAATTAAATAAATAAATAAAGTGATAGAGTGCCTGCTTAACAAGCACAAGGCCTGAATTCAAACCGTAGTACAATAAAAAAAATTACCTAACTAATTAATTGTATCAGGTAATGTTCTGGCATTTAAAAAATCAAAGGTGTTTTCCTTGTTAATGTAGTTGTATTTGAATGTTAAAACTGCTCATTTTGAAATATAAAATAATTCTACATTATATTTTCTGAGACTAGAATCATGCTAATGTAGTACAGTGTCAACTACCTTATGCACTGACCACAACACCTCAAACTATAGAATACTGGAACATTCCTAGGACTCAGTGGACAAAACCTTTGGCCAGAGGTGCCATTTCAGTCCAATGAGTAACTACTTCTGCAGTGTTGAACTGAGTCTTCACAGAAGCTCGAGAAGCTTAGCTCTACTAGCAAAGTGGTTAGGTTTATTTAGGAGTATAGAAAAGAGTAAGTTCCATGTATCAAAAGAGCACAAATAAAAGTGACAGACTGGCTGAGACATGTGGGTAAAATTCCATTCCATGTATTGTTGCTTTTCACTACAAAGGCAATCTCCAGGCCTGTAAATCATATTGTTTCATATTTTAAGTTTACTTCAGAAAATCAATCTTTCAGGAAAACCTATGTTTTATAATTTGGTAAGCAGAAATAAAATCAAATCTTATAATGAAAGGGTTTTTTTGGGCTTTTTAAAATGTAGCCTAAGCATTATTAGCCACCTGGAAATTATGTTGCAACTAAATGAACAGAGCACTTTTATGAGCCATGAAATCAACACTGAAGCATAACATTGTATAGAATTCATATTTATACTGCTATTTGGCAAAGTGGAATTTTACTGCACCTTTGGGAAGATGATATTTTAGTATCTGTTACTACTATCTACTACCACTAAATGAATGACATGATTTTGAAAACTCTCGTAAAGGTAATATTGTTGTGAAATAAGTGACCAAGGAGAGTCTTTGCTTGCAAATGCTGTACCCTGGTGCTTCCTCTGTTCCCTTGTGCACATCCTCCAAGCTTTCAGTGGTGAGCTGGGGAAGGGGCTGAGGAGGATACAGGTAGTGGCTTATGGAGCATGTCTGGTCTCACAGATGATCATTGCAGAGTAGGGATGGGGAAATCTCATGGACGATTTTCACTTTTGACACTTCTGAAACTGAGGTATGTCTTGCAGTTGCTAGCTTATCCAAGTTCAATGACAGAATTTGTCTTTCTGGGTGGTATATTAAATAATAATGTTGATCACAATGGATAGCATCTTTATGCAGCTCTGAAAGTTAGTGCTTCTAGGGCTGGGAAGGTGGCTCAGTGGTAAAGTGCTAGCCTTGCATGCCTGAAGCCCTGGGTTTGACTCCTCAGCACCACATAAACAAAAAGAAAAAAGCCGGGAGTGGCGCTGTGGCTCAAGTGGTAGAGTGCTAGCCTTGAGCTGAAGAGCTGAGGGACAGCGCCCAGGCCCAGAGTTCAGGCCCCTCGACCAGACCCCCCCAAAAAAGTTAGTACTTCTATATCTCAAATAAAATCAGCAGACAAGGAGAGGGAAAAGTTGGATGGAAAAAGGAAGGGTGAAAAGAGAGGACAGAAAGGGGAGAACAGAATTGTGTTTGCCTAATATTAAATTTTAACTGCACAGTACGCAGTGAAAGCAGAATCAAAGGATCTCATAAAGAACTAAACTAGTAGCTTGTGGTAGTTCATGCCTATAATTGTAGCTATTCAGGAGGCTGAGATCCAGAAGGCTGCAGTTTGAAGCCAGCCTAAGCCATCTCCAATTAACTACCCAAAAGCAGGGCTAGAGGCATGGCTTAGGTGGTAGAGAATCAGCTTACCAAACATGAGGCCATGAGTTTAACTCCAAGTACCATCAAAAAATAAATAAAAGAACTTTAAACGTGTATAGAATTATTTCCAAAAGTAAATGTGGTAAGGAGAGCAATAATTACTAAAGATGAAATTAACAACAAATCATATTAAATTGATTTTGCAATGTGTGACAGTGAATCTCTGAAAATATTCCACGAATATGGTGATTTTTCTTCCTCTATACCTACTGTAGTGTTTGACCAAAGTATAGTACTGTTGGATGAATCTGTATTCCAGAAACTTTATGTTTTCAGAATGATATTTCTGTGTTTTTGTTACTTTTGTGTGTGTTTTAAAATTTTTTTCTAATTTCGAATTGAGCCATTAAAGCTAGATTCCAAAGTTTAAGGCAGGGTGCTGATGGCTTATGCCTGGAATACTAGCTACTCAACAGGCTGAGAGCTAAGAAAAATAGTTCAAGGCCAGGCCAGGCAGGGAAATCTGTGAGATTTTTATTGCCAGTTAACCAGCAAGAAGGTGAAAGTGGAGGTATGGCTCAAGTGGTAGCATGCCAGTCTTGACAAAAGTAAGGAAGAGTACCCAGGCCCTGAGTTCAAGTCACAGTACTGGCACACACTTTTAAAAAATCAAAATGGAATTGATTGATTGATTCATTGATTGATTGATTTTTGCATGTTCTGAGTTTTGGACTTGGGTCCTTAAGTCCTCCTGCTTACTCGGCAACCATTCTTCCAGCCTTCCAAAGTGTTTTTTGAAGACGTTTCAGATTATGGATTTTTAGATTAGAAGAATGCAATTTAGTAAAGCCCATGTACATACTTCTAAGTTTAAAAAAAAAAAAAAACAGAAAAGCCGGGTGCTGGTGGTTCATGCAGCCTGTAATCCTAGCTACTCAGGAGGGGGAGATCTGAGGATCATGGTTCAAAGCCAGCCCGGGCAAGAATGTCCTAAGACTCTTATCTCCAATAAACCACTCAGAAAACTGGAAGTGGTGCTGTGGTAGAGCGCTAGCCTTGAGCTGAAAAGATGAGGGACAGCGCCCTGACCCAGAGTTTAGCGCCACAACTGACCAAAAAAAATACCAGATATTGGAGACACTTCTGGTCTCAAGCACTTTGGGTAAGATATAGTCATTTAGTTCCTCAGTTGATAGCTACCATCCTTCCTGCTCCAGTCAGTCAATCAGTCTTTTCACCACAGGTTCCATTTAGGCAACTTTACAACTTTTTTTGTACAAGAATGTTCCTCCAGTGCCTTTTTCTCCCAGCCCATAGGGACAGGTTACAAAAGCACTAATGTGAATAACCATCGAGCTCTTTTCTAGATCCAAGTCTAGGTCTCAAATTGTGGCTTCACTTTTTATTTTAAATTAGGAATCTCCAGAATACTAGTCATATTCATAATTTTAATATTATAAGAAATCACATATAAATAGGTAACTTCTTATGTGACTACAGCTCTTTGCCTTTTAGTTACACAATTAGATGCTAACTTTATATATTTCTCTGAAATCTGAGCATATATTTTTGATTTCTGAAATTCCTGAAGGTCAAATAGAGATCAGAATATCACTTAACAAGTCTGAATAAAGATCACTTCTTTTTTCTTCTTAATAGCATAGGAATAGTGACTGCCTAAGTGCTTTGTTAAGCTGTCAGGTGGCAGCATCCTAAGGTTACAGGCAAAACTTCCAGGATAGTATCTTAAAGGTGAGGAAAGGAGTCTACTGAGAATATTAAAAATCACTTACCTTTGGATATACCTACTCAGTAGAAGCAGAAGTATTCGATCCTTTTACAACGAATGTAGGCAAAGGAATTGTGTACAATTGTGTACATACAAAGGGAGTTACTTCAAAAGTCTGAAAGATCAGTCCAAAGTCTTGTGCTCCAGCTCTTGGTGGTTCTGTGTTTTAGCTGGAGTTGGAAGTGCCCTTCAAGGTTCCCACATTCAAATGAGCAATGTCTTTTGGGAATGAGTGACTATAACTTCCTAATGCCTAAGGACTTCCTACATCCCTGACTGTCATTACTTACATGCCAATACTAATAAGTGCCTGTCCTGCTTACTTATTACTTTAACTTGTTAAAAAGTACCTGTTTGGAGTCTCTCTTAATTCTTCAACATAAAATGTATCTGTTTCAGCTATAGGCTAGAAAGTTCTAGTTTAAAACAGAGGCTTGACTCTTTCAAGTCTTAGCTTTATAACTTTTTATAGTTGTTCTAAGAAACCATTTCTCTCTAATTTATGCTCAAAGAAATTCTAAATATGACCAGGCACTGGTGGCTCATGCCTATAATCCTAGCTATTCAGGAGACTGAGATCTGAGGATCGTGGTTCAAAGCCAAGCCCTGGCAGGAAAATCCGTGAAACTCTTTATCTCCAGTAAACCACCAGGAAACTGGAAGTAGCACTGTGGTTAAAGTGGTAGAGTGCTAGCCTTGAGCTGAAGAGCTGAGGGACAGCGCCCAGGCCCAGAGTTCAAACCCCATGACAAAAATAAAATAAAATTCTAAATATGTCTTGTTTTCTAGAAAGTATTAAATGAACAGACAAAATAAGAAACAATATGACATTCTAAATGGAGGAGAGTAACTTTTTATTTAGTGAAAGAAACTGGACAAGATTTAGAGATTTGATATGTAGATGTTGAGGTAGCATGAAGTAACTTTACCAAAGCAACCCTGATTACAAAATTCCTGCTAGAATCCTACAACTTTTTCTAGGCTGTGTGTTGTATATTTAACCTTTAAATGTTGTTCTCAAAGGGTCAGGCATAATAATATAATCCTGTAATAGCAGCTACTCGGGAGGTAGGAATGGGAATGTTGAGATTTAAGACCACCCTGGGCAAAAAATTAACCAGAGACCCTCATATATGGGCATGGTGGTCAGAACCTGCAATTCCACCTATTTGGGTGGCATAGGTAGGAATATTATCAGGTTGAGGCCAGTCTCAGGCCAAAAAAAGCAAAAAAACAAAAACCATGAGACCCTATCTAAAAAAATATTCAAAGCAAAAAACAGGTGAGGGTATGGTTAGGTGGTAGGTGAGTTCAAGCCCCACACCCCCACCAAAAAAAGCTGGGTGCTAAAAACTCACACATAGAATCCTAACTATTCATGAGATTGAGATCTGATGGTTGAGTTGATATTCAAAGACAGATTCATGAGACTTTTTAATTAACTAGCAAAGGGCCAGAACTAGAGGTTTGGTTTAAGTGGTAGAGCACCAGCTCTACACACACACACACACACACACACACACAAATACACATATGTATATATACATATATATAAATAAAATAATAACCATATTCATATACTTGATAACATACTTTGGACCACATGTATCAGAAGCCAATTGGCAAACCAATCTAGCCAAAAAAGGGAGATAAAAAGGACAATTACAGGTATGAGCCACCAGCTCATGTTTTTTTCACTCCCATTTTCCAAAATTTTCTTTTTTTGAGGGGGAGGGGGTCTGGTCGTGGGGCCTGAACTCTGGGCCTGGGCATTGTCCCTCAGCTCTTCAGCTCAAGGCTAGCACTCTACCACTTGAGCCACAGCGCCACTTCCGGCTGTTTTTTCTTTTTGCTTATTTGGTACTGAGGAATCGAACCCTCAGGCATGCAAGGCAAGCGCTCTACCACTGAGCCACCTTCCCGGCCCCAAAATTTTCTTAGCTTATGATACTGTACATATTATTAGTTAAAACTCACATTAGAGCCAAATGTGATTGCTCATGTCAGTAATTCTAGCTACTCAGAAAGCTAAGGTTGGAAGGATTACAGTTCAAGGCTAGCCTGAACAAAGAGTTTGTTTATCTCAGCCAATAAAAAGCTAGGCATCAAGCTGGGCACTGGTGGATCATGCCTGTAATCCTAGCTACTCAAGAGGCTGAGATCTGAGGATCACAGTTCAAAGCCAGCTTAGACAGGAAAGTCCATGACACTCTTAACTACAATTAACCACCAGAAAATGGGAAGTGGTGCTGTGGGTCAAAGTGGTAGACCATTATCCTTGAGCTGAAGAGCTCAGGGACAGTGCCGAGGCCCTGAGTTCAAAGTCCCACAACCTAAGGAAAAAAAACAAAACCACTGGGCACTATAGTGTACATCTGTCTTGCCAGCTACACAGGATGTTTATATTGGAAAATCAAATCCAAGCCATCCTAGGAAAATAGCAAGATTTAATCTCAAAAATAATCAGAGCAATAGGGAAGCTGCTGGCTTTCACACTTATATTCCAAACTACTATGAGATCACAGTTCAAAGCCAGCCTGAACAGAAAAGTCTGTAAAACTGTTATGTCTTGTGAATCACCAAAAGCTGGAAATGGAGCTGTTGCTCAAGTGGTGGAGTGCTAGCCTTGAGCAAAAAAAGGCTATGCAAGAGTACTCAGGCCTAGACGTCAACCCCCAGTATTGAGAGGGTGACAGAGGGAGAGGAACTGCAGCAATAGCTAGTAGAGTTGGCAGCAATTTTCAAGCAGAAGAGTGCCTGCCTATCAAACTTGAAGTACTGGGTTCCAATTTCGGTGCAAAGAAAAAAAACTGATATAACTGAAAGCTCTTTGAGGATTTCTATGTTCCTTTTTTTTTCTTTTAAATCCAAGTGTAAATATATTGGTCTTCTTTATTTTTTTGATTCAGTAGATAATGTACAGTACAATGTTTTGATATATGTATATATTGTGGAATGACTAAACCATGCTGCATTGTACTTCATAAGAACATACCACTGAGCATACATTTGGGAATATGGGTTCACGTCTGCACTCCTGAGGGCGAGTGTCATGTTCCTTTTATCTTTGTTATTCCTGAAGTGTTTTACAAGAACCTTTTACATAAGATGTAAGAATAAAAATAATTTTTCTTATAACATTTATGTTCCTTCAGTTTGATCCAGAGAAATAGTTTTAAGTAAAGATTTCTGTATTAATGAAAAGGATCTGTGATTAACAGCAATGGCGTACACTTGGGTGCTCTTAAAATAAAATGTAATGTTCATAGTACCTTTTACATGGAAATTCCAGCATTGCTTTAAAAAAGTATAGAATGGAGGCAAAAATGAAACTGTGTTCCTGTATGGCTTTTAAAACTGACAGCACAAACCATGAATAGGGGGCTAAGGCATAAGTAAATTGGCTTTTAAAATTTGAGAGGAAAAGAGGAGGAAAGAAACAAGAGATAGAGGATTATTAAGGGTCACTCAGTTGCTGGGCAAAATGGCTGGTGATTAAAACTTGCCTCTTACAGTGGTATTTGAAAGCTATATTAAAAATGAAAAGAAAATATAATCAACAGAAAATAATGATTTGTGGAGCTGAGTTTTGTTGTTTTGTGTGAGTGACCTTGACTAAAGAAACTTTCCAGTGCTATGCAGAGAAGACTGATCTTAGCTAAAAGTTAAATACTACTAAATATATGGGGAGCATTTCCAGGTGCTATTCAAAGTAATTGTTTAGTATTCAACATAAGTGAATGCTGGGATTTTCTATTCAATTATTATCAGAGAAGTTCTCCCAGATTTTATGTCACTACTAGTGATATTGGTAAGATAAAATTATTTTACTGGGCTGGAAAGGTGGCTCAGTGGTAGAGCACTTGCCTTGCATGCATGAGGCCCTGGGTTCAATTCCTCAACACCACATAAGCAAGAAGAAAAAAGCCAGAAGTGGCGCTGTGGTTCAAGTGGTAGAGTGCTAGCCTTGAGCTGAAGAGCTGAGGGACAGCACCCAGGCCCAGAGTTCAGGCCCCACGACCGGACCCCCCCCCAAAAAAAATTATTTCATTTATTAGTTCAAACTGAATGCTAGGCCTTCTGTTCGCAAGGTAAGTACTCTATCACTTGAGTCATGCTGGCCTTAGACCTCGGTCCTTCTGTCTGCCTCCAAGTAGTTAGGATCACAGATAGGCACCACAATTTCCAGCCTTATTTTACGTTCAGAATCATTCCAGAATGTTCCAGTGCTGGACTTTTTTCTCATATATATAAAACACTTTATGTTTCAAAATTTCCCAAATCTTGCCACCATAATGACTAAAGAATTTTTCATGACATACTGTTCAGCTTCAATGGAGAGAAAAACTGGGATATAAGATCTGTTCTTGGTATACAGAAATTCAAATTCTTGGGGCTGGGAAGGTGGCTCAGTGGTAGAGCGCTTGCCTTGCATGCCTGAGGCCCTGGGTTCAATTCCTCAACACCACATAAGCAAAAAGAAAAAAGCGGGAAGTGGCGCTGTGGCTCAAGTGGTAGAGCCCTAGACTTGAGCTGAAGAGCTGAGGGACAGGCCCAGGCCCAGAGTTCAGGCCCCTCGACCGGACCCCCCCTCAAAAAAATTCAAATTCTAGTATTACTAAATTCACTCAGAAGGGGGATAGCAATGGCTTTTATTTTATTTTCTTCCTGGCACATTTTGCTAAAATGTAGGTATGTGTCTTTCCCATTACTAATATCAGCCACCTGATAGACTCATCATGAGATAGGTTACATGTGGTATGCTGAGGAAATCTTCAAAATATTGAATAGACACAGTGTATTCGTAAGTACAATCCCCTGAATCCTGGAGACAAATGTAGATTTTCTAATAAGAATCACATAGGTAGGCTTCTGTGTACATTTCCACATTTTGTTGAGTGTCTCTCTGTTCTTACAGTTGGCTCAGTCTTGAAGACAACATTGTATCTTAACTCTCTTTGATTCCATGATGCTACATGTGCCTCTTGCCCTAGATGGTAGGCGTGTAGTTAATGGTGGAATGAATGAAGTCATTCGCCTTGAAGAGATGAATCACAAATGCATTCCTTATTATAATGCCAGAGGATTTGCTGCCTCTTCTCAAAGCCCAGGTGAATTCTCCTGGAAATATGATTGAACTTCAACTATTTCTAACTAGTCATAAGATTTCCAGCTAGTTTAAATATGAGATATGTCATGTACATATTACATAATATGTAAACACATGCTTGGTGCCCTGTAGGCAAACCAGATACCAACTTTTTTTTTTTTTTTTTGGGTCCGGTTGTGGGGCCTGAACTCTGGGCCTGGGCGCTGTCCCTCAGCTCTTCAGCTCAAGGCTAGCGCTCTACCACTTGAGTTACAGCGCCACTTCCGGCTTTTTTCTTTTTGCTTATGTGGTGCTGAGGAATCGAACCCAGGGCCTCATGCATACAAGGCAAGCACTCTACCACTGAGCCACCTTCCCAGCCCCAGATACCAACTTTTACTTCCTTGTTTTGTTTCTCCTGGGTTTGGAGTAAAGGTCCTATTAGCATTATTAACATAATGGAGGGTGAACAAATGCAGGTATTACATTTATTGTATATTATGTAAAAAATGAACTACATAGAAGGGAGAAAATAGAGAATGATGTAATGGGTGTCAATGATCAAGACACATTGTATTCATAAACTGATATATAATTATAATTTCTGTATAATTACTTAATAAAATTAGAGAATTGTTAGCAGGAGGGAAAATTGACTTTCTTTTGGGACAAATAGTTATATTTGTCCAAAATTCAGGCACTTTTTTGCTATGTATCCATTTGTCCATCTGTCTGCCTGCTTTGAGACAAAGTCTTTCTTTGCAGCCCAGGCTGGACTTTGAACTCATGGATTTTTTTGCTTCTGCATCCTGAGTGCTAGGATTATAGGTAATAAGTCTGCTAGGAAACAAGTTAGAGTAACTGGCAGGCTGAACTGGTGCACTGTATAACCAAACATGACCCACTTGTTTCATAGTATTTTCTGTGCTGGCTGCTTTACTGACAGTCTATTTGTGTGTGCATGTGTGTGCACACGCACACATACACACACATCTACGTGGCTTTTTTATTTTATGCCCTTTTAAGTCATTATTTTGAAAAATATAAGTATATTGAAGCTGTTGTTGACTAGAGGCTACAGCATCTTGAGAAACAAGCCTGATGGAATTATTTGTTACTAGCCAAGAATGAGGTTCTTCCTATTTTGACCAGTGATATTACTATAATAACTTAATACAATTCCTTTATTTCCTTGATTTTTACTATAAATACTACTTCTGTTCTAGTACTATAGTTGTATTTCAAAATTCAGCCTTGAAAATGATACAACATACTGTTTTCTTGAATATATTATTTTTCTTTCCATTCAAGATAAACTGTCATTGGAAGGAATAGTGGTACAGAGAGCCGAATGCCGACCTGCTGCCAGTGAAAACTACATGAGATTAAAGAGGTTGGTGATTTGGTTTTTGGTGTTGTTTGTTTGTTTGTTTTCATAGAGAAAGGATGCAAGAGGTTGTGCCAGTCCTGGGGCTTGAACTCAAGTCCTGAGCTTTTTTACTTAACGCTAGTATTCTACCTCTTAAGCCACAGCTCCACTTCCAGCTTTTTAGTGATTAGAGATAAGATTGCCTGGGCAATCTCTGAACCAAGATCCTTAGATTTTTAACTTCCTTTATAGCTAAGATTATGGGTGTAAGTCAGTGGTCCCCAGCATTAAATGTAAAAATGATAGGTAATATTTCTCTTTGGAGATCAAAATGCATACCTCAGACTTGCTTATGACTGCAAACAAATCATGGTTATTGTTGAAAGTATTTGTTTCAAAGGTAAGAGGGTCTTTGGTACTAAGGAACTCTCAGAACCTAGGCTGTTATTTGAGATACGTTAAGCAATTGTGCTTTTTTTTGTTTGATTGTTTTTCTTTTGGTGTTACTGGATTAAGCTACTGTGTTAATATGTCATAAAATAAAAGTTTATAGAATATTTTTAGCTATATATATGAATTCTCTGAAAACATATAATAGGAACTTTATGTCATTTTATTTTCAAAGGCTATAATTAACTATAATGAATACATGCCTAACTGCTGTATAGAGTGTAGTTGCTAAAGTGCTTTCTTTTCTCTTGATCTATGAAAACCTTTTTCTTTTGGTGGTACTAGGGTTTGAACTCAGCCTCATCTTGTTCATCTTGATTGTTTAGCTAATGTTCTACCATTTGAGCCATGCCTCCAGACTGACTTTTTGCTGGTTATTTTGGAAATAGTCTCACCAATGTTTTTTCCTAGGATAGTGTTAAACCACTATCCTCCAGATCTCACCTCCTGAGAAGCTAGTATTATAGGCATGGGCCACTGGTGCCCAACTTATTGAGAACTGTTAAGAGATTTTTTTGTTTCAAGACTCCCTCCCCACACATATACACACTTTTGTAGATGTAACATTTTGTAATTAATGCATAGATAGTGATTGCAGATTCTTAATACCCCATATTTTGACTTCCGTGAATCAGCAGTTTTTACACCTGTATTATACCTGTTCTATGTATGGTTATGGTTTATTTTTTAATACTGTTCATTCCCATGAGCTTCAGAATTATAGGTTCTTCCTTTCTATCAGTTGCTTTTATGGACACTAGAGAAACAGTAGCATACAACATAGGCAGGCTATCCACTGAGGAGCTCCCACGGTAGCTAGCAGACTGTCTATCCCGTGTGATACCAGCCTCCAAGAACAGGCTGCTCAGGCCTACATTTTCTCATCAAAGGAGTGATGCTTGCGCTGGACCATCTCTGAATTTCTCATCATCTTAGCTTAGACTCTGATTCTTGGCAATGACACAAAGAGACTGGTTTTCTTGTCTGATCATTCCTTAATTTAAATGCCTCCTTGGGGCAAGGAAAAGAATGACAGTCAAAATGAACATTTATATAACAGTAAGCAGCTTTAGGAAACAGGCAGAAGATGTTTTCAACCTATAAAGTTTATATACAATACAAATCTTTTTAAAGATTTCTCTTCTTCAAATAGCTACTAAAATTGAAGAAATGTAACAGTCTGCTTATAAACCACTTGCCAAGATCTTTTTCTGTGGTCTTCATTTTCTTTAAAGGCTTTCTAAAGACTCCTGATGATGAGAGCAGGGCAGTCACCTGCTGTGTTTACAGAATAGCCGGGGGAGGGGGGGCGGTTATTGCAGCCAAAAATGGGAAAGTGTTTAGCTTTTTGAGTATGCTAGAAGACCAGCCATTATATATTTTAGTAGCGAGTGACTGACTAAAGGAAATTGGATGATTCAAGAAGTGATGATCATGTGGGTTTCAAGCATAGTAGATGTAGATGACATCAGTTCTGAAGGTTGCCATTTGTGTGTGTGTGTGCGTGCGTGTGTGCGTGTGTGTGTGTGTGTGTGTGTGTGTGTGTGTTTTAACTAAGTGAGAAAAGATAGGGGAAGAACATTCAAAACAGACAAATAGACACAAAGACATGAGACATATTTCTGGGACGTTGTTCTGGAGGCCTGGACTGTAGGATCTGTAGGAGCAGATGACAGAAGCCACCTCCATCCTAGATAGTAAAGTCGACAAGGATCCATCTCCAGGTAACCAGCAAAATGCTTGACTGGAGGTGCAACTCTGGTGGTAGAGTGCCAGCCATGAGCAAACAAACTGAACAAGGTTTCTGTAGTCTGACCATATTTCCCTACCCACAGAAGTTATTTCTCACCTTTATTATTGAAGTCACCTTCTACCAGAGTTCTTGCTTTCACCTTTGACCCTCTATACTCTTCTCATCACAGGTGCTAGAGCAGCAGCTATTCTTTTAAAATCTGAGTCATATACCTTGCCATTCCTTAGCTCACGTGTCACTTGCAGTGCTTCCTGTGTTACTCAGAATAAAATCCAAGCCATTGTAATGATCAGCAGGAGCCTACATTGCCATCCTGCCACCCTACCTCTTCTTTCTGTCCTCATTTTCTTTTTCTTCTTTCTATACTGGCTGTTCTTTGCTGTCTGGAAGCCTTTTTCTCCATAACTACATGCCTCACTTCTTACTTCTTTCAAGTCTTTTTTTACTAAAGGACTATATTGAACATCTTACCTCATTCTCTACAATATCACATTATACTATATAGGTTACATAGGTATACTGCGAATTCTTCCTTACTACGGTTAAAGCTTCCTCAGAGAATTTTTTGCTTTGGTTTTTGTTCAATTACACACATATCTATACTACATGAAGCATAGTAAGCAGTGAGTAAATACTTGGCACAAGGCAAATTTTGAAATGTTAAGGATTATTATGTGGTGTAGTAAGAAATTCCAGCTTTGTGTGTTATCCCCATTAGGAGCGTACTAAAGAATTTTATGCTGGGTGAGATGTAAGCTGATATATGTTTAGACTGGTGACTCTTCCCATAGGATAATGACTAGAAATAGGGAAATAAGCTAGAGGCTGAGGTAAAGCCCAGGTTCAAAATGTCTGAAGGACTAAAAAGCTGGTTCTAGTTAGATGGAAGATAGCAACTAGGCTTGTGGAATATTTGGAGATAGTCAATGGGACTATGTATGCTATACATAGGAGTAGATTCCAATGGTATAACTCCTTTGAACAATTAAGTGACAATTAATTGAATACCAGGAAGCTGAAACATGTTTTGTCAGAGAGGAGTGGAGCTTAGGGTGGAGCAAAAGAACAGAGAGAAAAAAGATGAACAAATACAGATATAATACTCAATGGGTATATGTGAAACCTGAACCTGGTAACATGAGGGCATAGATGATGTTGGGAGAGATAGCATGAGGTGATAGAAGTGGTAACAATGATCAAGATGCTTTCTATTTATAAAAGGACCAGGTGTAGCTCAGTGACATTTGTGTGGTTGTGGGTATGCATGTACAAATACAGTATACTCACATACTTGATACACATACACTGTAAGAAATGAATAGAGTGAAAGAGAAAGCCCTTTATTAAAGTCCTTTCCTTGACATAAGTCAGTGAGTTCTTAAATTTAATCAATGAGTTGTTACTGTACTATATTTTAACAAATGCCAGCTGAGCTATAGTCACAAAATGTAACATTATAAATATCCTATTTATAAATAATGCCCTTTAAGAGTGATACGTCTATTTTTAGTGGGAATTTGATTTTAGTAATCTTATTATAGCTCTCTGCTATTAAATTGTGTCTGGTAAATTGTCCAATTATGGGAATTGCATATTAGTCAAATGTTAGTAAGATTCTGTCACTTATTTAGATAAAGGTAGAAATTAAATATATAACTAGTATTAGAGTAAACCCAAGAAATGTGTTAACCCTTTAATGAGATTCAGGCCAACAAAAAATGATTATGCTATATTTTTTTCAATAATTTTTGTCATATAATAAAGAAAATCCTGCAAATATGCAGTTATTCACCAAGAAAAATCCAAAAAAAATAAAAGAGGGGCAGGAAAAGAAGTTGTTTGCCAGTCTTTTTTTTTTTCTCTCGCAGTCCTGGGGCTTGAACTCTTTTCTCTGGACATTAGGACCCTAGACAGATGGATAGAAGCAAGTTTTGATTTGCATTCTTCCTTTGAGAAGTTCCCTTTCTAAATTGCTAATGTCACATATGTAAAAAGAAATGTCTGCAGGGATGTCTTACTTACTAGGATGATTGTCTTATTTGTGTTATTTGTCTTTTTAGTTAGAAAAGAAATTCAAGTTGGGGCTAGGAATGTGACTTAGAGGTAGAGTACTTGCCCAGCATGCTTGAAGCCCTGGGTTCAATTCCTAAGTACCACATAAACAGAAAAGGCCAGAAGTGGTGCTGTGGCTCAAGTGGTAGAGTGCTAGCCTTGAGCAAAAGAAGCTCAGGGATTATGTCCAAGCCCTGAGTTCAAACCCCAGGACTGGCAAGAAAAGAAAAAAAATTCAAATTGAATTAGAATAGAGTAACCAGCCCTGTGCCAGGGGCTCGAGCCTGTAATCCTAACTACTCAGGAGGCTCAGATTTGAGGATCATAGTTTGAAACCAGCCCAGTCAGACAAATCTGCAAAACTCTTATTTCCATTTAACTAGCAAAAAGCCAAAAGTAGAGCTGTGGTTCAACCAGCCTTGAACAAAGAAGGTAAGCATGAATGAGAAGCTTTGAGTTCAAGTCCCAGTATCAGCACAAAAAATAAAGCAGGGGGAAAAAAAGAGTGGTTTTGTAATTTAGCAGTTAAGGGAGAGTACTTTTGAGAATGGAAATGGGCACTAACCAGAAAAGATAACGCTCTGAAAGGTAAAGTGTAAATGTCTTGCTTATAAGTAGTCCAGGTATGATAAAATTCTAATCTTTAAGACACTAAAAGATCTTGTATCAAATGATACAAGTCCTGACAGAAAATACATACTAGAAGCCGCTTGCTGGTGACTCACACCTGTAATCCTAGCTACTCAGGAGGCTGAGATCTGAAGATTGT